TACCAGTACTTACTATCAGTATTAAACTAGTGAGCCCGTTGCTCTGCCACCGGTGTTAATTGCCAGTTGGAGCAAGATATGTAGTTTTTGTTGCTACATATTTTTGTTGTCATATTTGAGCCTGGCATAGTTTTCAGACATTTTCTGTTTGTAGTATGCGTTTTCAAAACTCTTCTATATGCGGTACAACGGAGTCCGGTATTTTCCGAGAAGATGGGAATCAGTCCTTTTGCGGTATGGTCCACTGAAAGTAGTATAGGCTGCTGTAGAAACCTTGCAGCTATGCTAAGACTAAGCCGTGCATCTCAACTCACCAACCCTGTGATCTTTCACGCGTGGCGTGTTGACTTGAAAGCAGTTAGCTCCACCTCTTAGGAACATCCAATAGCGCCGCCGTTTGACACGCGACGTGTATGTCAGAATCCATGTCGGTGCCACCTTGTGGGTATGTTGAATGGCATCGCTATTTATCTCGTGACATGTTGGTCAGAACACAGTCGGCGCCATCTCGCGGTCACTGCAATAGCTTCGCAGATTGACTCGTGATGTGTTGGTCAGAGTACAGTCGACCCATCGTACCGGCACGACCGCTGTGTTGGATGTCGTGAACAGTACTTACGTATACACTTCGGAAGGAGTTCGTCATTCAAGAAGCAGTGTTTTCGAACTATCGCGTGTCCGTGTTGTGTGAGGAAAAACAATGCCGTAGAAACTTGATGTGCAGGATGATTTGCTTCGTTGAGTACAGCGGGGTTTCGGATCTGTACATATTTGTGTTGAACAACGTGGCGAACAACATGTCCGTCTATTGAAAATAGCCTGGGCTTCCTATATTTGCTATGATGGTTGATAGTACGATAGGGGAAATACGGCATGGTACGTATGATGCAGAATCGTTTATTGCTGCAAAAAGTAGTTTGTGCCCATGACCGTTATGTGAATAGATGTGTGCACAATATTTAGAAAAAATGAATTCCGTCTTATGGAGTATTTAGTTTTCGTCATTGGCAAAAATAGAGCGGTACACGACGTTCTGGGTGTAGATTCCTTCGAATCCGGGGAACTTGCCGTCCCGCACTAACACAGAGATCCCAGCCTTGGTTTTGGCTCTAGACAGTGCAACATACAGTTGTCCGTGAGAGAAGACTGGGCTTGGCAAGATAAGTCCCACGCGACTTAACGTTTGGCCCTGAGATTTGTTGATGGTCATAGCAAATGCCAACTTCACTGGAAACTGGCGTCGCTTCAACTTGAAAGGGAGGTTGGATTGGCTGCCCTCATCGACCAAGGT